GAGACCTCCAAGGAATACCAGGGTTGTGACATGGGGGCAGGCAATAATAAATTGCCTCTGAACGTTCTTTATTTTATTTATTTATTTATTTATTGTCGCATTTCTACCCCTCCCCCCCCCCACGAGCGGGCTCAGGGCAGCTTACAATAAGGCGCCATGTGCCAATAAACATAAAACAGCCTAAAAACAAGATAAAGCAATCTACGTTAAAGTGCTCAGTGGTTACAATCAAAACTAACAAGATGGAATCAGATTGACAAGATGGACTCCCCAGAATCTTACATAACAATAGGGAGGTTAAATACTTATGGTTGTTACTCAGCCCCATCCAGCGGTACTGACCACAGCAATGTCATGGTTGATCTTCATGGGGCCACCCCTCTGGTCTACCAATGATGGTAACGGTATTGGTAGTGGTAGTGGCAGCTCCTACTCAAAAGCCTGGCGGAAGAGCTCCGTCTTACAGGCCCTGCGGAACTGTAAAAGGGCCCTGATCTCCTCCGGGAGCTCATCCCACCGGGTAGGAGCCGCCACTGAAAAGGCCCTGGCCCTGGTTGCAGCAAGCCTGGCTTCCCTGGGGCCTGGAATCACCAGGCAATGTTGTGTCCCCGACCGAAGTGCTCTTTGGGGCATATGTGGGGAAAGGCGGTCCCTCGGGTATGTCGGACCCTGGCCATATAGGGCCTTAAAGGTAAGCACCAGCACTTTGAAGCGAATCCGGTATGCTATAGGCAGCCAGTGCAGTGCTTTCAGCACAGGCCGGATGTGCTCCCACCTAGGGGCGCCCACCGACAGCCTGGCCGCAGCATTCTGCACTAGCTGCAGTCTCCGGATTTGCGACAGAGGCAGCCCCGTGTAGAGATACCTTGAAACCCCACATGGTCGCTATTAGTCAGTGGTGACTTGTTGGTTAAAAAAAAAGAAAGGAATAGCTGGTGTTGATTGTGGACGAGAGAGAGAAAATCCCTGGTTTCCTTCTGTAGTTTCAGTTCCACACTTATTGCTGTGTGTATTGTAGTCACATTGTGGTGCGGTTAGTGTATATCGAAGGCAGGGGCAACCAGACCTGCTCAACGTAAGAGCCCCATAGAATAAACGTCGGACGTTTGAGAGCCGCAGGATATGAACAAATAGTACGCAGACGTTTTTACTGGGAAATATGCAGGTTTGCTTTTGATTAACATTAAACGAGACGGCCCAAAATAAGAACAAAAGTGGCAAAAGCAGATGTTAATAATGATATTTATTTGTCCAATGATATTTGCTTGCTAGTGATACTTAGCTTCCCCGGCCGCCCTGCCAGGAGCCGCACGATATGTGTGAAAGAGTCGCATGCGGCTCCTGAGCCGCAGTTTGGCTACCCCTGATCTAAGGTATGCCATATATATATGTAGAAAGGGGAATAGATGTAAAAGGGGGAAATGCTGATTTATTAAGGCACAAACAATGGATCAAAAGTGGGTTAAGGGCCGTGGCTCAGCGGCTGGGAATCTCCCTGGCATCTCCAGTTCAAAGGACCAGGCAGGAGGTGATGGGAAAGACCATCGCCTGAGATACTGGAGAGCTGCTGCCAGTCTGAGTAAACAATACTGATTAGGAGAGGCCATGTCTGTGGTAGAGTATCTGCTTGGCATGCAGAAGGTCCCGGGTTCAATCCCCGGCATCTCCCGTTAAAAGGACCAGGGCAGCAGGTGATGGGAAAGACCATCGCCTGAGATACTGGAGAGCTGCTGCCAGTCTGAGTAAACAATACTGATTAGGAGAGGCCATGTCTGTGGTAGAGTATCTGCTTGGCATGCAGGAGGTCCCAGGCTCAATCCCCGACATCTCCAGTTAAAAAGGCCCTGATAATAGGTGACCGTGATGCAAAAGACCTCTGCCTGAGACTCTGGAAAGCAGCTGCTGATCTGAGTAGATAAGAACCTGGATGGACGGGGGGGGGGGTGATTCAGTATAAGGCAGTGTCACATGTGGCTCAGTGGAAGAGCCTCTGCTTGGCATGCAGAAGGTCCCAGGTTCAATCCCCGGCACCTCCAGTTAAATGGAACAGGCAGTAGGTGATGGGAAAGACCTCTGTCTGAGACCCTGGAGAGCTGCTGCCAGTCAGAGTAGACAATACCTTGATGGACCAAGGGCCTGACTCAGTAGAAGGCAGCTTCAGGTGTATCAAGTCACGGAAACACCTCTCTTTGCACAGACAGACGGAAGAGCTCCTGAAAGATCAAGACCTTGGCTGTTTTCTCATCAGGCTACGTGAAAGAGCCTTTGGCTATATCCTCTCCTACAGGTAAGCCTCCGAACTGAGCATCTCCCTTTCTGGATGGGCGACTACCCCTTCCGGTCATTTGCCTGTGACTTTTTGGACGCTGTGACCGGCCCAAGCAGTTCCCCCACCACCACGGGAGCAGAGGAGGAGCCTTGCGCGATCAGATCGATGGTGCACCTAACCAGTGTTCCCTCTAAGCTGAGTTAGTGTGAGCCAGCTCACAGTTTTTGAGCCTCCGGCTCAAACGTTTTTTTGTCTCGGCTCAGGGAGGAGGGCTCCAGGGCAAACTGATTGATGCAGCGGCCCAATCGTTCGCTCACAGCTTTGACGCCGGTAGCCCGCAAAGTAGGATTTTTGCTCACAAGGCTCCACTGCTTAGAGGGAGCGTTGCATCTAACCCGGTATCCTGTTTCCTACGGTGGCCAATGAGAAGTCCGCAGAAGGCCTACATTCAGTCATTGTCATTTAATTCAGTCATTTTCATTCCATTCATTTGTAATCCCCCTTTTTCCTTGATGGGGAGTCCAGCCAGCATACATTAGGGGTCCCCAACCTTTTTGAGCTGGCAGGCAGCTTTGGAATTCTGACACAGAATGGTGGGTGCAGTCACAAAATGGCTGCCAACGGAGGCAGAGCCAGCCATAAGATGGCTGCCATGGCTTACCTTCAGTCACACAGTGAAGAGCCTTGTGCTGTCATGGGAACTGCTGCCAAGGCAACATTAAAAACAAACAAACTACACAGCCAATCGACTCTCCAATGTCCTTTTTGCTTTATCACATGTCCACCACATACGGTAAAAAGAGCCTTCTACTTTCTAAAAACATTCAGTGGGCACCTCTTTGGGGACCCCTGGCTTACATTGTTCTCCTCCATTTTGTCTTCACAATAACCCTGTGAGGTAGGTGAGGCTGAAGCAGTGTGATTGGCCCAAGGCCACCCAGCAAGCTTCCAGAGCACGAATGGGGATTTGAACTTGGTTCTCCCAGTCCTAGTCCGACACACTGTCTCTCTACGAAACAAGGCAAAGCCGCTCACCCCCTAGACAATCGTCTGGGAAACGGAGCACTCCCCTGAGAAAGCAGAAGTTGGCCATGCCTGACCGACGCCACAAATGACGGAGAGAGAACCTCATGCAAAGCTGGGCTGGTTAATTTTTAGAGGGTTTTCATTCAAACGGCCTCCTTGTGCTGAGATCTCCTCCGCGGCCAAATGCAAAAAGGGTTTGTGTTTCCACATACTTATGATGAAGTTCTTGCTCTCTCTTTTTCTCACTCCCAAACACTGGCAGGGGTGGAAAGTGCTTTTAAGTCTCAGCCGATTTACGGCGTCCCTGTAGGGCTTTTCAGGCAAGAGACGAACAGAGGCGATTTGCAGTTGTCTGCCTCCTCGTCATGACCCTGGGCTTCCGAGATCTGATAAGATTGAGCTAACCTGGGCCAGTTGGGTCAAGGAACTCCAACACTGCGCCTCCTAATCCAATCCGCCTCCCGTGACTGGCCATGAATTCACGCTGCTTCTCTTCCAAAAGGTCAGTATTCTGGTGATGCTTTAATTCGAGGAAGAAGGTTTAACAACATGGTACCGAGTTATTCGTAGAAAGTGGGGCATTATTTAACGCTCAGGGGTGGGGCATTACTTTATTATTTATTACTTCCATACAACCATCAAACTTTGAAGAGGACAGGATCCCTTCTCCCAAGTGATTTACAAGAATTGATATAAGGGTACAACAAATGGAGTGGAGGGAACTGAAGATCAGGGATGTTTGAGCACCCACCGGTTTGGCTCACTGTCTGTTCGCTGGTTAATAACCAGGGAGCCATGTTTTCATTGAACAGTTTGGTTGTTTGCAAACAGCTCGTTTGGGTTACTTTCGTCTTTTTTTTACAATTTAAGTGTAAGTGTAAACAAAAGAATTTCAACATCTAAGTAACATACAACGCAGAATTTTAACAGAGTAACAAGACAAATAGGGTAACACATAAGCTTCAGAACAGAAGGGATAATGATGCAACAAGAAGGTATCGCTTACGCGTTGCCTGAGAGTACTATATACTGGTATGGACATAAACATGAGCATGAACATGAATAACTAGGGTCATCTAGAGTGCTGTGTTGTCAAAGATTCAAGAGTATTGCTTAGTTAAAAATGAAGCCACAATGCAAAGTTCGGATTTTTTGGCAGGAGATCGTTTTCTGCCATGAATTGTAAGTACGGGAACCAGGTGTTTGTGAATTTGGAGTGTGTCGTGCATTGTGATGTTCGAGAGGTTATTTTATCCATGATGAAGAATTCATTTGGGTTACTTTCCATGTCTTCTCGGTTGTACGACATGGCGTGAAATGTGTGATTTAATGTCAAGATTTCAGTAGCTCCTCGGAGTCTAGTATCCACAGCTTGGGGGATCCTTATTTTATTTATTTTATTTTATTTTATTGGACTTGTATCCCACCCTCTCCACAAGCGGGATCTGTTCGGGTTCCATCAATATTACTACAATTTACAGTAACAATTAAAATCAATTAAAAACAATTAAAAACAGTACAAAGTCATAAAATACCATGCAAGATCTAATCAAATGTCTCAGCAATTTAAGATGGAACGGTAATATGGGTTTGAATCCAGGACACTGATTGGGAGGGCAACCAGAAGGGGAGACATCCATTGCCTCAACTAAAAGCCGGGCGGAAGAGCTTTGTCTTGCAGGCCCTGCAGAATTGTAGGAAATCCTGCACGACCCTGATCTCATATGGGAGCTCATTTCACCAGTTAGGGGCCCTACTCGAGGCAAGCTGGATGTCCCTGGCATCCCACCGTTGAAACTCCTGCCTGCTCCCTGGTTGGTTATTATCTTTGCCCAGAGTCTCCAATTCCACACGGCCATGGGTAGCTTGGTTTACATCCCTAAATCAGTTGATGTTCTTCTCTTTGTTGTCATGAACTGGGTCGTGTCTCGGTTGCAGAGGGAAAGACCGGTGCCGCCATTTTGTCATCAGCTGCCAAAAGAACGGACGCTACGTCGTTGCGGGAGACACCCGGAACCACGAAAGCCTCGCCGAATTGATCAGATACTACCAGATATCAGAAATCGAGCCATTTGGAGAGAATCTTACTGTGGCCTGTTCAAAGGTGGGTCGCAGTCTGAAAGATTCCCTGATTTCCCCCTCCCCCAAGCGACGGTAGAGTCATTCGGCTCCTTTTAACAGAGTGGAATACGGTCTTCTAAGAAGACTAGGAAGAACATAAGAGAAGCCAGAAGATGGTTATATTTAGGACTTCGATTAAAGCAGTCCTGAATTGTGATTTTAACCACTATACTGCACTGGCTGTTCATTAGTCTAATTTGCCCATAAGAATTTACAAAAAGTCCTGCAGAGTCCAAGTCTATATAATTCAGCATCCCGATTCCGCAGTATCTTAGGTCATCAATCTTTATATTTCTTCTCCGATCCCTTCCCTCTGTCTCTGTAGCCGGAAGAAAAAAACATCTATGACCAAATTTCTCTGGAGTCGCGAACGCCTCCTAAGCCAAGTCCAGAGCTGGTCAGGCAAGGGTCCAGCAGTGATCCTACCGCCAGCCCTGCAGGGAAGGACATTACTAGTCAGCAGTCTGCCAAGCCAAGGCGGAAGCTTCAAGAACAGCAGAAGTCCTTGTCGAAAGAAAGGCAAGGCTGGAGCCTGGAATCTCACCCGGAAGATGTGAGTCCTAAAGCAGAATGGGGATTCGAACCCGGGTCTCTCAGACGCTAGCCCGACACTCTTAACCAATACCCTAACCTGGTTGTCCTTTCCATGTGCTTCCCCGTATAAACTCTTCTGGCACATAGAAGACAAGAACCCTGGCGTACTGATTTTATCTGGACAAACTAGTCGGATTGTCAGGTCCGGTTGTCAGCACTGCTCCCTCTAAGCTGTGGAGCCCTGTGAGCAAAAATTCTACTTCGGGAGCTCCTGGCATTAAAGTTGTGAGCGAGTGATTTTGGCGACTGAATAAGTTAGCATGGGTTCTGTGAGGGAAGATCTTGTCTCACTAACCTGTTAGTGTTCTTTGAGGGGGTGAACAAACATGTGGACAAGGGGGATCCAATAGATATTGTTTACCTTGACTTCCAGAAAGCTTTTGAAAAAGTTCCTCATCAAAGGCTCCTAAGTAAGCTCAAAAATCATGGGATAAAAGGACAAGTCAGATCAAAAACTGACTAATTAATAGAAAACAGAGAGTGAGTATAAATGGGCAATTTTCTCAGTGGAGGGTGGTAAGCAGTGGGCTACCGCAGGGATCAGTACTTGGTCCACTGCTTTTTAACTTGTTCATTAATGATTTGGAGTTGGGAGTAAGCAGTGAAGTGGCTAAATTTGCAGATGATACGAAGTTGTTCAGGGTGGTGAAAACCAGTGAGGATTGTGAGGCACTCCAAAGGGATCTGTCAAGGATGGGCAAGTGGGCGTCAACATGGCAAATGGGGTTCAATGTGGCCAAGTGCAAGGTGATGCACATTGGAGCCAAAAATCCTAAATATAAATACATGTTGATGGGGTCTGAACTGGCAGAGACTGAGCAAGAGAGAGATCTTGGAGTTGTAGTAGATAACTCACTGAAAATGTCGAGACAGTGTGTGACTGCAATAAAGAAGGCCAATGCTATGCTGGGGATTATTAGGAAGGGTATTGTAAACAGATCAGCCAATATCATAATGCCGCTATATAAATCAATGGTGCGACCTCATCTGGAATACTGTGTGCAATTCTGGTCACCACACCTTAAAAAGGATATTATAGCTTTGGAAAAAGTGCAGAAAAGGGCAACTCGAATGATAAAAGGGTTGGAACACTTTCCCTATGAGGAAAGGTTAAAGCGCTTAGGGCTCTTTAGCTTGGAGAAAAGACGACTGAGGGGTGACATGATCGAGGTTTATAAGATTATGCATGGGAAAGAGCAGGTAAAGAAAGAGGTACTTTTCTCCCTTTCTCACAATACAAGAACCCGTGGGCACTCCATGAAATTGCTGAGCGGTCGGGTTAGAACGGATAAAAGGAAGTACTTCTTCACCCAAAGAGTGATTAACACTTGGAATTCACTGCCACAGGAAGTGGTGGCGGCTACAAGCATGGACGGCTTCAAAAGGGAATTAGATAAGCATATGGAGCAGAGGTCCATCAGTGGCTATTAGCCACAAGGTATAGATAGGGACTCTGGGGCAAGTGATGCTCTGTCATCTTGGTGCTTGGGGGGGGGTCAACAGTGGGAGGGCTTCTCTTTCCCTCCTTCCCCTACCATGTTAGGACCCTGATGAGGCCCCACCCATCCCAGACAGGAGCAGTCTGCTGATGGCGGAATGTTCTAAGAAGGCCTCTGGGAACCAAGCAAGTGTTTACACTTCACCGAAGCACCTAAAGGATGAGGGTTTGGCGGGACCAGCCGACATGGATCAGTCCTTCACAGATCGCCCGCCAAATCGAGACGATCCCAGCCAAGGGAGCCTCCATCGCAAAAATACGAGTCTTCAGCTGTATGATCAATTTTACGGCAAAAGAACTGAAGAGGCTGGCCGCTTGGGAACGATCTATTCCGAAATCGGCGCCGACCAACACAAGAGCACTTCGACACCACCGGAGTCCCCGAGCGGCCAACCTTTCTCTCTTACCATGCAAAAAAAGTCCAGCCTGAATTCTCCAGCATCGACTCCCCCGAAACTATCCCCAAAGTTACCTGATAAACCAAAGACCTTTGCAGAGGCCCAAGGACTGCAGGAAACATCCTTGGCATCATATTCAAGCTCTCCAATGATCGATGAAAGACGTCGAATGTCTTCCCCCTCCGAGACTTCCTCTGATCCCCCCAGGACGAACTTGTACGGTCAGGTCCATAAACTGAAGTCGCAGAAGCCTGCCGTGTCTGTCGGCGACGACCCCTACGAGCGGATCCCTTTCGAGTGGCCCAAGCGCAGGATCCACGAGCGTGATCCCGAAAGCCTCCCGAAATCTTCGGCGCTGAAGGCCAAAGAGGTTTACGAGCAAGCCTGCATGGAGAGCAGCCGCTCTCCCAGAGCACAGAGCTGCACCGAGAATACGTACGAAAAGATCCCAGCGCATTTATCCAAAAGCTCATCGACGAGGCATTTTGGCGCTAGAGACGACATCTATGAGAAAATTTCCTTTGCCCCTGGGAAAGGAGCTTGGGCAAAGGCAATTCCAAAGGTATTGTTGAACTTTCAGTCTACGTTAAAGAAGCTGAATGTAGGTTCTCGGGGCACACTTGCTATCCAAAAAAATATGTCACAGTGCTACGAGTCATCTTTGTACCCTGCAACTGGTTCAAAAGATGGCTTCCCATTTATTAGCCATTATTAAACATGTTAGGGTCATGGTGGCTCAGAGGTTAAGACGCTTAGCTGCAGACCAGAAGGACCATAGCTTGGCTGTTCGAGACCTGAGTGCCACGAGACAGAGTGAGCGCCCGTCTCTGGTCCCAGCTCCTGCCAACCCAGCAGTTCAAAAGCAAGAAATTGCAAGGAGATAAATAGGTACCGCTTCGGTGGGAAGGTAACAGCGTTCCGTGCCCATCGGCATTTAGTCATGCTGGCTACATAACCATGGAGAAATCTTTGGACAACACTGGCTCTTTGGCTTGGAAACAGAGATGAGCGCTGCCCCCTAGAGTCAGAACTGACTGGCTTTCGAGCAAGGGAAACCTTTACCTTACCAGCAGCTATGCTGAGATTTTGGTGCCTCTGCGTCAAAAAACAGGGGCCCCCAGAGCCCCAGATACACGTGAATCGATTCTCCATTATACCCTATGGGAACCGGTCTCCATAGGGTATAATGGAGTGCCCCACTGATAGCCCTGAAGCAGAGGGGGGGGCTCAAAATCAGGGGACCCCCCTCCAACCGGCCATCCAGATTAGGGAATTGTTAACTGCAGGGATTGCATTTCATGAATATTCCGAGTACAACTCATGCTCTTCACCTATAAAAAGGTGCTTGAAAGACCACCTTCTCCTGTATGAACCTTTCAATATGCTGAGATCATGGACTCCGGCTTTGTGTTGGTTCTTTCCATACCTGATCTCAAGGTGTTGGGGGGTTTCCCCCGTGTTTCCTGTTTGTTTAGCAAGATAATTCAGGA